ACATCCCTGCGGCCCCTGCCAGCAACACCCTTTCCCCCACGGCCGCGGCGCCCTACACGGCCCGGCGCGTGTGCCAGCAGTGACGGCCGGGCTGGACTGGGCACACTTGAGCCATGCGCTCCGGGGCAGGCCCCGGCATGCGTGCCAGTGGCCGTAGCCGGGCTGCACAGGCGCCATGTGCCCCAGGGCGGGCCTGCACACCCTGGGGGGGTGGGCCCGCTCCCCACGGGCGGGCCTGCGCATGCACCATGTGCCCAGGGGTAGCATCGCACGCCCATGCCCAGGGCACCAGAATGCCTCGGACCAGCCCTGCTGGCAGTGATGAAACATTTTGTGAATCTTGGAAATTTGACAACTTTTAGCACTAGTGATTATTTTGAAAGTTTCCGTGGAATGTGTGTTGTTCGTTACTTATTAACAACAGATTGTTAAACAGTGTTCAGGATAGTCTAGGAGGTGTATTTGGCCCTGCCTCAGCATGAGAGGTTGAACTAGATGATCTTTTGATGTCCCTTTCAGCCCTGCAGGGAGAGGGGGATGCAGGCAGAGGAGCAGGTAGAGGGTATATGAGGGCATCCAATTTAGCAATTAAAATTTTGGTGGCAGTATGGGGTGTGGTGCACCGCCAATGTGCTACCATGGATCACATCCCTGTTTAGTTCTATGATTAGTCTCCTGTTTTTTAAAAGTTTCAGGCATCCAATCAGAGCTGACGATGTAGTTTGTGAGCTGAATGGTCATTCTATCTCTTGAAAGCAATTATTTGACTCCCAAGCCCCAGTTAGTATGGTATATGAATGCCCCATGATCTTTAATGAATTTATCCTCACAACATTTCAGTGACTTCAGAGGGGTAGCCAAGTTAGTCTGTAACAGGAAAAACTTAAAAAACAACAAATAGTCTAGCAGCACCTTAAAGACTAACAAATCATGTAGATGGTATCAGAGCTTTCATGGGCATGACCTACCCATTCTCAAATTGGGAAACTGAGGCACAGAGAAACTAAGAGCCTTTCTATACAGGGAAATTTACCATCATGATGTATAGTGGTAAATTTCCCCTTATAGACAAGCCCTAAGTGAATTTCCCTCAGGGAGACTGTAGCAAAGCAGGACATTTAACATGAGTCTCCAAAGCAACTCCCTTCCTTCTCTTCACATCCCTGGAATAGACAAAGTGAAGATTTTACAGAACAGGCTGAAACGTATGAGTGCAAGCTATGTGGTGAAAACTTGCAATTACTTTATTATGAAACCCAGGGGGTTGTGAACCCAGCCCTGTGAAGCTGTGAGACAGCAACCCTCACTACACTGCCACCAGATTACACTCCATGACCTGCTGTGGACACAGACCATGGGCAGTCCAGTCTCAAGGTGTCTGATAGACAGCAATCTCCTGCGCCTCGCCCCATATAAACCCAAGGAGCGGTCCAGGAAGAAACCAGGTAACACTGTGGATCTCTTGTGTGAACCCAGCCCTGTGAAGCTGTGAGACAGCAACCCTCACTACACTGCCACCAGATTACACTCCATGACCTGCTGTGGACACAGACCATGGGCAGTCCAGTCTCAAGGTGTCTGATAGACAGCAATCTCCTGCGCCTCGCCCCATATAAACCCAAGGAGCGGTCCAGGAAGAAACCAGGTAACACTGTGGATCTCTTGTAGCTGACCTCCTGGGTCTCATCTCAGCTTGATTTAGGCCTGGCTTCAAAACATGATTAGGACTGTCCCAGCCTGGAACTTGACTATGAACTCCTCTACTACTGTCAGCCTCAGGTCTGATGCTGCTATGATTCTCAGTCCTAACTGCCCTTGTCAGGATCCTGACACCTGTGTTCTCAACACAGAAAATCTGGCTGTTCCTTAATTAGGGCTATACGTTTTCTCTCATAAATGACTAACTCTGTGGCACCTTGGAGACTAACAAAAATACATAGTATCATGAGCATTCCTGGGTAAGACCCACTTCATGATACTAGATATTTTTGTTAGCTTCTCAGGGTGCATCTACACAGTAGGACTTACCTTGAAATAAGCTAGGCAAATTGAGCTATGCCAATTGTGTAGCTCAGGGGTTCCCAAACTTTTTGACACTGGGGACTAGTAATTCTATTCACGAGCTTTTGGACAACCGGTAACATTTATTTTCATGTTTGCATATTCATTAAGCAAATGATGAATATGCAAATAAATTGTTTCTGGTCCTCCCAAAACTCCCTAGTGCCAACTTTAGCCCACATAATAGTCATTTGTGGCCACACAAGTGAGATACAAAAACACAACCCCTCTAAACCCCGCAAACCTCACTAATGTGGCCCCAACTGTGCTTGTGGGTGCTGGGACAGAGTTCTGGGGAAGGGTGCCAATGAGTGCTGGGGCAGGGGACAGGGTGCTTGTGGGTGCTGGGGCAGGGTAGTTGTGGTGGTCGAGGGGGGAGGAGGGGACAGGGACCAATACCTGGGGATCCTGTAGCTGCCAAGGCCCAGGAAGTGCACAGGCTGCTCCCCCACCCCCCAAACAGCAGCACAGTACCTGACATACTGGTCCGTTGCACGCCTGATGCCTTCCTGCGTGGGGAGAGGGAGAGTCCCGGCCCGCGCCATCCCCACCTGCTCGGGCAGTGCGCCTTGCTCCTTCACTCCCATGGCAACACACGCCGCACAAGCAGCCGGAGCCCGCGCAGTCCCAGATCCCCACCCACTCCCCTGCATGCAGGAAGGCAGCAGGGGAACAAAGTCCCCAGTGCACGATGGACTGGCATTTTAGGTACTGCACCGGCTGTTGGGACGGGGGGGGAGCAGCCTTCACACTTCCGGGATCTGGTGCGCAGCTGCAGAACTGCCCCCTGGCCCCGCAGAAAGCCTGCGCTACCTCTGTGGTCCCTAGAGGAAGCATCAGTATGGCTTGCATCTTGGGGATTGGGGGCAGCGAGGCGGGCTCTCTCGCAAAAAATTTTCTAAAGCCTGGTATTTTTTTCCATGGACCAATACTGGGCCGCAGACCACAGTTTGTGAAACGCTGGCATAGCGTATTTTGAAATAGGGAGCATCTACGCAGCTGTTATTTCTAGACAGAGCACTCATCTTTCGACTTCCCTTACTCTTTGTGCAATGAGGGTTACAGGAATCGGAGCAAGAAGTCCTCCAGCTTGACAGTATTTCGACATTATTTCAAACTAACTGCCGGCTGTGTAGACGTGGACTAAATTATTTTGAAATAATGTTGCTGTGAGGATGTACTCTAAGGTGCCACAGGACTACTTGTTGTTTTCAAAGTTACAGACTAAAACGGCTATCCCTCTGAGACATTTTCTCTCATGTTCACCAGTTCAAAGAGAAGGGTTACTCAGTGACCAGTTGCTACCTGGACAAAAAGGTGAGACAGTGCACAATCCCTTCTGACTAGGGCTAACAGATTCATCAAGGCACTGTGTTACTAAAACAGTGGTCTCTGAACAAAGTGCAATCACACACATTATAAGCAGGTAAGACAAGAAGAGGCTGCCAGAAATAAATCTGATTTTTCTTGTTGTTCAGTATAGTGACTAAAACCTTCACTTTACTCTGCTGATAAATGAGAGAGGCTGTAGATCCAGTAATTAATTGACCAGCTCTTTGCCTGTACATCCAACAGGTGTTCTAGTAACTATGACAATGGGGAGATGTAGTCCCCCTCCCCACATACAGATACACGCACTGTGCCCCTAACTAATAGAAGCAGCCTCTTTGCTACTGAGCAGTAAGAGCTGGTGTGCAGAGAGTCCGAGGAGCAGAAGCTGAACGGAGACAGAAGTCATGCACAGAGAATGCAACAGGGCTGATGAGCTAACAACGTGTGCTTCATTCTCCAGCTGAACTGAAAATCGCTCCAAGAGCTCAGCTTGCGACGGTGATGGTAAGAAGAAATTTTTGGAGCTGTTTGAGTGAGAGCGCTGGAGCATTTTGAGATGTCTTAATCCCATAACAAAGAGCACATCAGAGGGACTGAGCATTAGGGAGCATTTTAGCAGGTGTCTTTTCAAAAGGATCTGATTCTTCTGATCTTCCTTCCATCCAAAAAAAAAAAAAAAAGCATTTTCTTTCAATAGCTGCAAATTCAGTATCCGCAAAGTCTGTGCTCTGTAGATTTAACCAAGTCCCTAGCCTGGATGCCAATCATCCTTAACTAACAACCACATTGCTTTAACAAAGTTCTAACATTTGACTATCTTCTTAGACTTGGATAAAAATAGTATCTCCTTTCGTCTCCTACCTTGGAACTGGAGCAGGCTGCCCTAAAGACTGAGAATCCTTGAACTGTATGGGGATTTTTTGAAGGCAAAAAGCCCCAGTTCTGCAGGTGCCTTTCATGCATTATCTTGAAGCTCTGAAAACCTGGGATGAGTGCAGGAGGACTCTAGCAGTGGATCAAGATAGCATTCATCCCCAAAGCAGAGTCGCTGCTCCCACTCTGAGAGCAGGTGGCTGCAGCTAGATAAAGAGAAACATTAAGGAGCGACTCTGATCTCAAGACTCCAGTCTACCTGCAAACAAACTACACTCTAATATACTGAAGCAAGAATTGGGATCGGGCTGTCATGGAAGGTGAGGACATCCAGTTTTTATCTCTCTGTGAAATGTACATTGCATGTGTTCAACTATGTTTCCCAAGGGCCTGATCTGAAACCTGTGGGAGTCTTTTTACTGACTTCAGTGGGTTTGGATCAGACTCTTCTAGGATAACTTACTATGGAATATTTGTCTTCTGTGAAATGTATAGGAAAGGTATTTAACACTGCAGTGAAGGAGAGTGAGGGAGGGAGAGGAAATATACATTCTGTAGCTTCCACAAGAATTGTGTTACTCTATGCTATTGATATTTGATCCTTAATATCCCATATAACTTAAATTTAATCAAGTTATGGTTGCTGTGGGAGCTATAACTTTGCATTTCCTGTTTCTTGTGCATTTAAAAAAATTAAATTATTACAGTGATGCAGTTTTTTGCATTTAATTTAATTGTCATTTTAATAACAGTACAGAGTTAAATAAGGAGCCCGTTTTTCACCAGCGATCAAGGTCTCATAGATGTGAAACTACACATTTGATAAGCATACTACAGCTGACCCTTTTTAAGGTGAAGTCGTTTTCTTCATAGAAAACTTTGTCATGTTGAAGGTTTATGCTAAAGCAAACTGCTATTTGCACTCTGAAATGCACTGACATCTGTATAGGAACATACCAGTTCATGTCTGGATAATCACAAAAGGAACCCAATCCAAACCCTCATGAAATTCAAGGACAGTCTCTAATTGACGTCAGTGGGCTGTGAATCATGCTTTTCGGCACCCTTATTTCAGCCAAGGAAATAACATGCCCAGGAACCTATTTTCAATATTCACATTCCCCCACAAACACCTTACCTCCCTCAACAAAAATACTGAGGAACGCATCCCTTCCTGACTGAAGGCTGCTTCTGTGCCCTCTCAAACACTTCAGCTAATGACTCTTTTGCCTTTGTTCCAACTCCAGGCTCACCTAATCCCCTTCTACTTCTATCCCTTCATTACTCCTCCTCATCTACCATTCTCTTCCTGCCTCTGCTTGTATTCCTGCCATTTCCCCCATTCCCATACGCTCCTGTCTTTCAATAGCTCCTGCTGTACCCTTTCCCCAAATCCTGTCTTATGCCCCTCTCCCATGTTATCCTTGTCTTCCCCAACCATCTTCTGACCCCTCATACTTCCGTCCATCTTCCCTGACCCCTTCTTCTGCTCTGTGCATTAGAGTGAAGCAATTCCTTTCCCTTTCCTCTATGCTACCTGAATGATAGCAGTGGGAACACTGAGAACACTGGAGTTTCTTCGTGTGGCTAACACCACCATAGCCCCCAACAGCTGGAAGGAACAATTGCAGGGAGAGAAAAACGTAACAGGATTTAGCAGCTGAATTCTAACAAATCTCTGCTGAGCCTATATAAACTGAATTTTTTCCCAAGGATTATAATGTACCTAAATATAGCAAAATCTTCCCTGGAATGGCAAAGGACACTGTCTTGACACCAGGGTGATTCTCCTGCCACCTTTCAGGTCCCTGTTGCAAAGCACAAAGGAGTTAGAGCAGTGGTCCCCAACCATTAGAGGTTGCCGGGCGCCAGGGGGCGTGGCCGTTCGCCCACTGGGCGCCAGGGGGTGTGGCCGTTTGCCCACCGGGTGCCAGGGGGCGGGGACACTTGCGCGCCCAGGGGCGGCGCCCCCCATAGCCACATGCTCGGGGGCGGGGCCCCCCCCATAGCCACGTGCCCAGGGCCAGTGCCCCCTGCAAACACCGCGCACCCGGGGCTGGCGCTC